CTCGGGTTTTGCTCCGTTTGAGATGGGAATTTACCCGAGTCTTTTGCCTCAAGTCGGCTCACCGCAATTGAGATCTGGCTCATTTGATTTTCCAAGTTTTGGATGCTAGATTTCGTTGTTTCTTGGAATTGAGCCACACTTTGTTGCATCGTTGAAATGTTTGTAGCAAGTGCTCGGATCATGTCTTCAGTGGACATATTTGAGCTTGAGGTTTGGCCTTGGTGATTTGGGAAGGATTGTTGAAAGGGCCGATTCTGTTGTGTTTGAGGGTTCCCATATCTCAAATTCGGGTGATCTCTCCACCCGGGGTTGTAAGTGTTAGAGTGTGGATCGTACCTCTTTTGTTGATGAGATTGAAAACCCAAGGCATTGACTTGCTCTTCTTGGAGATTTGGGCAAGAATCGGTTGGATGCCCCTGCTGTGTGCATATGCCGCAGACCTTGACCTCTTGGGTTCTAGGATTTAAGAGGAAATCCTTAACCAAAGAAGTCAAGCCGGCCATTTGACTTTCCAAAGATGAAGATGATTCCGCTGCGGCAACTTTACGGATTGAGGACCGCCCGTTGTAATGCCTGGAATTCTCGGCCAACTCCGAGATCAAGTTTGTCGCTTGTGAGGGGGTTTTGTTGACAATGCCACCCCCACAAGCGGCATTCACCATTCTTCTATCATCATCAACAAGACCATCGTAAAAGTAGAGTATGAGGTCTTGCTCGGTGTAGCCATGATAAGGGCAGCTAGCACATAACTTTTTGAACCGTTCCCAATATTCATATAAAGTCTCATCATCTTTTTGATTGATGTTACTTATTTGTTTTTTCAAAGATGATGACATGGAGGCGGGGTAGTACCTTTCTAGGAAGCATTTCTTCATTGCTGCCCATGTATCTATGCTTCCCGAGGGAAGATAGAATAGCCAATCCTTAGCCGTGTCTTTCAGTGAGAATGGAAAGGCCCTCAGCTTGATCTGTTCTTCAGTGACATTATTTGGTTTCATACTAGTGCAAACTATATGAAACTCCGCAAGGTGTTTGTTTGCATCTTCGCCCCTTAGGCCATGAAATGAAGGGAGTAGATGAATGAGGCCCGACTTGAGCTCAAATGTAGCACCTTCATCAAGAGTGGGGAAGGTGATACATAGAGGTTGTTGATTTAAGTTAGGAGCCGTGAGCTCCCTCAACGTTCTTGTTTCTTGAGCCATAGTGATTGGCTCTTCGTTCTCGCTGGAATAAGAACTAGCACTTGATGATTCCTCCGAAGAAGTATTCGGAAATAAATTCCTAAACCTCTCGAAGGCTTGTTCTGTTTCGGGATTTGTTTGGTAGGTGATTTGGTTTATAGATCGGTGTTTAACCATATACTCAAACAAAGCTCAGAAATAGAAAATAAGAACTCTTTATATTTTTTATTTAATTACTTTTTTTTTGAAATAAAATAAAAAGAAAAATAATTGCCTTTCCCCGGCAACGGCGCCAAATTTGACGTGCACTTGTCGTGAGGTGCACTCAAAATAAATACAATACAACACTAATACGTAGTATAGCGAAGTAAGGTTCGTATCCGCAGGGAAAGGAATACTTTTCTTTTTATAAACTAGTAACAAAGGGGGTTTTTTAGATTTGATTTGATTTAATTAACACTAAGATGAATGACTTAAATGAGTTTAATTAATGAGAAGAAGACTTGGTTTTGCTTTTATCCACTTAATGAAATGTTCGTCGATCCCGGTTATATCTTTAACTATCTTCCTCTTGAATACTCAATCGAGGAGTATATCCAGTTCATCGAGGGTAGTTATTAATAACGAGAAGCGTTCATTAATAAAACTTACTATCGAGTCAATATAGAACAAGCGTCGTATATTAACTTGATAGTAGCAATAAACTTAAGATGAAAACGATTGAGATTGATAACCTCAACACAAGCGGTTTATTGGTTTAATCAATATAATTAATTCCCCTTAGATTATTAACCATGAGATGCATGCATTAATAATCCAAGTTTACTACCATGAAAGGACCGAATTAATAACAAGCGTATTAATCGACCGATTCTAGTATTAATTAATATATGAAACAAAACTAGTTGATCCTTTAAGTAATGTTCAAAATATTAATATGAAATATGAATAGGAATTAATTAATACTCAAGAAAGAATATTAAAGAAGATGAATCCTACTATAGTTAATATCAAGATGTTAACTAATTGTCATCTTAGTAACACTCCCCAATATTAACGTAGAGGAAGAAATAATTATTACTATAACTAATGTCAAGATGTTAACTAATTGTCATCTTAGTAACACTCCCCAACATTGATATAGAAATAGTATTTAAAGGAAGAATTAATATTCAAGGAAGAAGATTAAAGAGAATAACTCACAACTTACAAATTCATTAAGCTTCAAAGTAGCAAAACCAAGATGGAAGAGTTTAGCTCCTCATTTGGAGACTAAACATGATAGAAAATATAAAGAAAACACTAATCTAAACTGAGCTAAAGAGTATATGTGAATTGGTGATTTTATTGTGAAGGAAAGGGGTGTATTTATAGGCTTTTGGGAGCTGCAGGGTCTGATACCCGATCGGGTATAGAGGATACCCGATCGGGTATCTTAGGAAACTGCCCAGAAAGTCACTTTTCTGGGCATACCCGATCGGGTATGTCGGCATACCCGATCGGGTATGTGACAAATCTTCACGAAAATTTGCTCCCACGATCATTTGTTCCCGGATTTGATTTGGACAATCGAATCAAGTGAATACCCGATCGGGTATAGGCAATACCCGACCGGGTACATGAATATTTTTTCCAAATCGAAATCTTTCTTGTCTCCTTGCACTTTCCTTGATCTTTTAAGGTCCAATCTTGATCCCTTCGATGATCTTTGACCTGTTTAGCTCAGAATAATCCTAATCTAAACAAATTACAAATAAAAATGAAAATAAAATATTACACCAAAAGTGTGTAATTTCCACAACTACAACTAATAAAAACTAGTTAAAAATACAAACATACAATCGAAAATTACACGAATATCACTGGCCGTGTATATCACATGAGTGATTGCCGCATGGTTTCCTGGTATTGCTCTAACCTACTATGTATCTAGACTAGTTTTAATTCACACGTGTACCTAGTTAGAATTGGTAGATAGTTAGAACTCTTTTGTACAAAGCCTATTAATAGGCCATTCGTATGAGAAGATCTCTACGGTGAATTTTATCATCTATCTGAGCCAGCTGTCTTTTTTTAGCATGTTGCATTGCCTTTAATTTTAGATATCCATAATTGGTTAGGTTGTGTTCATTAGCTATGGAAAAAAATGAGTGATGTATTTAGAAGATACTCCGATCCTTACACACAAATTACTACGGAGTATATATGAACTCAAATGAGTTTTATTTTTCTTTTTAATTATGCGCATGCTGTGTTGGATGTGTGGGCATACTAGAAAGGACCGCGTGAGGAATGAGACAATTAGACAAAGGGTGGGAGTAGCACCTATTGAAGATAAGATGCGGGAGTCTTGCCTACGGTGGTTTGGTCATGTGCATAGAAGACCGAGTGATGCACCTGTCAGACGAGTTGAGATGTGTGGAGAAGACGTAGGGAAGAGAGGGAGAGGAAGGCCCAAACAGACGTGGGTTAGGGGAGTCAGAAGTGATATGCTTCTTCTTGGATTGGATGAGAGTATGGCTTTGGAGAGAGCAAAATGGAGGGTGGGTATTCGTGTGGAAGAGTGATCTTGCATCTCTTTTCCTTTTGGCCGGTGATATCATATATCGATTCATGTTAGCCGACCCCAATATCGTTTGGGACTAAGGCTTGGATGTTGTTGTTTGTTGTTGTACACACTTACACACACGCATACCGGTGTAAAGAAATAATTACATATTTTGTATAAATTTATGATTAAAATAAAATAAATTTACAAAAAATGTGACCTCTTGTTTAAATTATATGATAATAATATTTTTGAAAAAAACTCATCATCTATAAAGAAAATCTTATCTTATTTTTAATAATAATGAATAACAAAAGACGTACGATGCTTGAAATCAAGTAGGACACATGAGTAATAATGGTAAGATCTAAAATCTATATTAGTTTACTGGTATTCAATAATTGTGTTTAATTAACCTATAAAAATTACTCCGTACATGGAAATTACACTTGCATTTAAGTTAATCATGTCGAAAGAACAAAGATCATAAATTACATATGAAAAGTTTCCTACTCAAACAGTTGTAAAATACGAAGTATATTTGTTGATATGAACAATTCAGAATGTGCTTTTGTTACTACGTATTTTTTGGGATATCATGATTCGTTCTGATCATTAGTAATTTGATGATATGACAATATGATCGATTGTGATTATTTGTGAATTTGAAACTTTTTGTTGATTTGGAAAGGATTTTTTCTACCAAATCTTAATGGCAACTTTTTATTCCATTCCTAACTAAAGGGTGTGCTTACAAAAGAGAGGAAGCTGCAGATGACGATTTAGCTGCATAGAGAGGAATTGCAGAAACAAAGAATCATGAACTTGATGACACAGTCTCCTCCTTTTCTACTTCTATTATTACAACAGGAAGGAGAGAAGAAGAAGCTGATGAGAAATTGCAGAAAGTTGCATGTTTTGACTCTCTATAATAATATGTTGTGGTATTGTCCATAAAAGATATCTTTAAACGAATTAAAACTATATTAAGATCTGGGTTCCTCAACCCCCAATCTTAACATGAGTTTTTGATTTATTGTCTTAAACAATATTTGTGTGAATGAGCTTATGAGCAACTTTTTGGTGTATTGTTCTTTCCAACTTTAACCGATCCTTGGTCTTCTGTTCTCAAAGGGTTTTCTTACATAAGAGAAGAAGCTGATGGTTTCGTGGCTTCAAGTAGTTCCAAGGTGGGTGAAAGAGTAGTTAGACAACCAAAGAATGATGTCCTAGCAGCCCTACTCACAAAAAGGAGAGTGGAAAAAAACAACAAAGCTTGTGAGCAGGGCATGATCCCTGCATCAACTCATGTTGCTGCTAAGAAAGCTCGGAAAAAGTTTGTCACCAACTCCAAGAAGATTTCCAGTGGGACTTTTCGTTCAAGTACCACTGATACTTCCTACTACAGCTCATGTTACCCCGTTTCGGAAAATCAAAAGCGTGTTCGAAATTATGAAACTTCCTACAGCTCATGTTCCTCTGTTTCGAAAAGTCGGAGGTGTGCTGGAATCTCAAAAACTTCCAGCAGTTCATGTTTCCCGTTTCGAAAACTTGGACGTGTGCTGGAAATTCAAAAACTTCCAAGAGTTCATGATTTCCAGTTTCAAAAACTCGTGCAGAATACTCCACAACTTCCAACAAGTGTTGTATCCCTGCTACTAAAACTCAGAAGTGTGCTGGAAACGCGAAGACTTTCAATTCTTGCTATGGAACCGTTCCCGTAGTTAAAAAAGAATTGTGAAACCCATTTCCATAGTTGGTCAATTTGCCTTTTGTATTATTTGACTTTCTGATATTTTTCTTTCTGAACGGAATTATATTGGATAGAACAGAGTTTAATTATTTCAATATTTTTAATTAATTATTTCAATAATTTTAATTTTTCTCTCATGGATTTTAGGGAATTTCAGCCTAGGAACACGGCCTTTTTGAATTTGTCTTTGTGTTTGTTAGTTAAGTACGTATTGATAGTTAGAAGTGGTTCATTTTCAATATTATAGAAACATTGCTTAATTAGTAAAGGTAGACATAGTTTGAAAATAAAGGTAATTTTAAATAGGAGAGAAGTTGGAATATTTGGGGAAAATATACATTTTGAATTGTTATTAACTAGTATCTTTACTCGTGACGTGCACAAGATAAAATGATTTGTTTTATTTTTACTATATATTTGTCTATGTGCGCACTAGCATATATATATATATATATATATATATATATATATATATATATATATATATATATATATTTAGGTTCATGCGAGAACTTAATCTTAGGAGAGGTAAAAAGAATAGATATCAACCATTGGATTAGATTTTAATCATTCGTGAGTTACTCTTTCAATTGAGGGCAAACTAGAGATTTTCTTTACCTATTAATGAGCACCGATTCTTTCCATAACTTCTATCCCAAAATTTTAGCTTGTTTACGTTATTATTTTGATGATTGATTACATCTTGACTCATCTTTTTCCTTCTTAATCAAAACTCCACTAGAGAACTCCTCCATCTTTTTCATAAAAACTTTTGGCATTCTTATTTCCTTTTTCTTTCTTTCCTTGATTTCTATAACAATGAGAAATGGTTTCTCCCTGGATTTTAGTATGTTTTCACAAACTTGAATTTCCTCTTAATCACACAATATTCAAGGGAGATGACTTTTATGCACAATTCTTAGTTTTGAATGCACTGTGAAGATCCCGTTGTGCATAATTCCTAATTTTGAATGCACTTCAGAAATCATATTAGCATCATAGCACATATGATAGTGCACCATTTTACAGTACACATGCATGCGGATAAATTTGCATTATTAAGCCCTACATGAGAATGTTATTGAGAATATTAAATAATAATGTGCAATTTTATGGGTAGAATGCATCACTTTGTAGGTTTGAAGACATAACATTTCATCACACAAAGCTTGTGATGATGTTGATGTGCATGGTGTTATCAATAATTGTGCATAGTGTATTTGCATCATTTTAACACAAAATGTGCATCACGAGCTAATTGCAATACTTTTAAACATAATGCACCTATATTCTTTTAATAATGCACATTTAATAATATATGACTTTCTTCTTCAATTATTAAAGAAGTGCATGATATTAGCAATAAATGTGCATCTCAATCACAATAAAATTGCAACAACAATTGTTACTTATGAGTCAAAGTTAATGCACAAATTTAGATAAAGATTTTATAAATTATTTATCCGAGTTTTGTGCTACAGAATGCTAAACGCAAAGGAATTCAGAAGCATTTAATAGAGAATGATCAATTAATGAGTAGTTATTAGTCTACTTAGTTTTTAGGAAGACTTCCTAATTTAGTGGTTTATTTTCTCACGTCAACCACCATGAAGTTTACCTTTGTACCCTTAATTAATTATATGGTTGCACTCTTTCCATTTTAAACATACACGTTAGGCACCAATAGTGGAGGAAAGAGACAACTAGACAACTAGGATTAAATAATAACCATCCGATCCAATTGATGGAAGGCTAGATTTTGTTCTTTTTTACTCTCCTAAGAGGGTGTTCTCACAGGAACTAATCCCTATATATATATATATGAGTTATATAACAGAAATTGACTTATTTATCCGATTATAACATTGATTGATAATGCATATTCTTATTTATTAAGTGTGTCCTATTTTAAACTAATTATCTAAACATGTTCTCAATCTATATTTCCCAATTAAAAGAGTCAATTTTTTATAACTCTAAGTTGTACCAAATGAACTCTGTCTTTTCAAACATCTTTATCTAAATTAAAAATAGAAATTGCTCAATGCCTATTTTTATCCATTATATTTCATCTGTAGCTTGTTGTTTTTTCAAAACTAATAACTGCACATTTTTGTAATTTATTTATTTAATAATAGATGTGGTCATTTTTTCAAGGTATTAGCCCTTATAGGATTCAGAATTGAGCAAATTCGTCCTTCTATCTTCTTCTTTAAGAAAAGAGTTTAAAATATATAGTTATTGATTTTAAAGAAGGTGATGACCGATGACGGTGACAACAAGCCGGCCGGCTGCATAACGCGATCGGTAGCGATCAATTTATTTTTCATTAGATTGATTTAAAGTAATTGTTATTGAACGAAGAAAAGTTGCATGCTTTAGACTTTTAGTAGGCAACTTTTGCCTAGAAGGTCAACTGAATTAAATCTATAAAAAGATTCTCGCGTCAATTGGTAGGTAATAATTGAAACATAAACATGTCAAACTATGCAATAAAAATAAAAAAGAATGATGCCTCATATTTAGAAACAAAAATGATCTCAATGTTGTAACCAAATAGTACTATATTGAAGTTACATCCATTAGAATGCGTAGATTTTTTCAAGAGATTTGTTGAATTCTAATCTAATATGGATTTCTAAATTTGTTTTTTAATCAGATTGAATTTTTTTGGTCTAAACTTGTCTAGTGTGAAATTTTTTGGTCCACCTCGATTCCCTTGGATGAGATCAAATGGCCTAGAAACAATTCCTTCCTCCACCATAAAGTGTAACACCGTCCCCAAGTATATTTGTTGAACATTGAAAAATGGTTAATGAATTTGCGAGGTTGTAAATTTTTATTATTTCTTTTGCATGAATAGTAAAATGCATGTGGGGCCCATGCCGGGAGAGAGGACCACCCGATATTTCCGGGACCACATATTATATTCATCTTGGTCTAGATAATATATGTGGTGGTGGATATTCTATCTGGGCCATAGAAAAGGCATATAGTTGACCGGTTGGTCAAACAGGGCCCATATACCAGTATCGGTATGTTATCATATAACGGCCCGTGATGAATTATGAGGACTTCAAAATTAAAGTTGGGGAATGTATATTCATTCCAAAGGCCCATATTGATTGAGAATTTGATATACATTTTATTTGGTCTGATAAAATAAAATATAAGTAAAACAATCCGAAAATACAACTTTAGGGACCGAATGTACACATTTGGAAACAAAGGGATGACCTCCCACATGGGTGGGGGCTACCCCACGAATGTACACCTCTTAAAGGTCAACCATAGGTGGCTAGGTGACTTATTGAGGCTTTGACACAATGAGGAGATGGGAGGAGTCAATCAAATGTACAATGGGGTCTATTCCCACATTATTTTGAGAGAAAAGTCAAAAAGGTTATCTCTTCACTCACCCACTTCTCACATTTCTTCCAAGCATCACAAAGAGGGTAGAGAACCTCTGCAAAACATTTCCTCCATATCTAAGAACAAGTCAAGCAAGGAGGGAGCTCAAGGAAGGAGTTTGAGTGGCTAAAAATGTAGAAAAGCTTGAGATATTGAGGTAATGGTTTCATTAACTTTTTCTTTTCCTTTTGTTTAATGTCATATTGTTGAGAATCATATGAGGAGACCCTACACTAGTACAAAGAAGACCTTTTACATCACCTTATCCCAGTGGCGGATCCAATGATATTTCAAAAACGAGTACCCATGATGACGTCATATGGCATAATTTGGCGAAAATTTGCGTCGTTTTTGTCCTCTACTGGAAATAATATAATTGCTCAAATACTAGAGTGCGTACTAGACTGCTGGCCTGCTGCTCTTTTAGGAAATTGCTTATTTCAAAATTTGGAACATATATACTACTTTCCTTATTCCCAACAATGTCTACATATGGTGAAGTGTAATAATTTAATGACAATTTACTAATTTAGTACTAGTAGTTTATTGAAAAGGTAAGTGTATAATTTGAAATTGTAATTTTAATGTGATTTTGAACACCCGAAATATATGTGATAGATCGACCATTTCCTTATCTACATCTGTCATTATATTTCCTTATCCACCATTTCCTTATCTACATCTATCATCATAAGTGATAGATACTACGGGGTCTTTTTTATAATTTTTATAAACATTTTCACATGGGTTATCCATATACCCAATGTTAAATAGTAAAATGGGGTATATTTTATAATTTTATTAAATATTCTACATCGGTTTTATGTGGAACTGATGTAAAAACTATAAAACGGGGTCATTTTTTGAATTAATGAAAGTTAAGTTTACATCGACTAAACCTGATTTAGAAGAGAAAAACCAAAAAAAAAACGTGCCTCATTCTAGATCGGTTATAACCGCTCTGATCTAAACCCATGGATCTAAACTTATATGATACATATGTCTTTGCTGGTTACGAAAACTTTGAAACCTAACCAAGATTCAGCCGGAGAATTTTGGCTATCAGAAGACGGACCTAATGACCAGCGACGGACCCAGCGACTGGAGACGGACTTGGCGACCAGCGGCAGGCCCGAGGACCAGATTTGGACCAACCACTAGCCGCGACTGTAGCTTAAAGTTGTTGTAGCACAGGCTTCAGATCCAGGTCGGATGGCGTTGATGGAGTCGTCCAGTGGAGCCGCCAAGGATTACCGGTCACAATTTGAGCTAGTCACGGATTATCCGGTAAGTTTATTGATGGTGTATTATATGTGTGCTTACAGTCTTTGGCACTGTGCAATAAAAAAACAAGTTTTGAATGGTTTAAACGGTTGAAAGTACATCAACTGACATGCTTTTACATTGGATTTCAGTGATTAGGTTTTTATTATTTATTAACCTAATGAATTTGAATTTCAGCCACCTACATTATAGTGGTACTGGTACTACTGGTACTTGGGTATCTAGTTCTCTATTTTCTATTTTTTTTTTATATATTATGACCTAAAATGGCATTGTAGATGAGATGTTTGATAAAA